GGCTGTGGTGCCCCTGTAAACCCGTCTCTGATCCGTTTGCTCTTTCGCATTATTTTCATCTATGAACACAGATAGATGTCGTCCCCACGAAAAAAACAAAAAACAACGGTGCCCCCTAAAGTAAGTGGACCCACATAACTGCCACACACCCCGGCCCTGGGGAGTGTTTCACAAAGACTAAGATTAACTTTAAGTTGGACTTAACTATGGCAGACTGTTCATGCCACTTTTTTCTCTTACCATTTTTTCTGGCATTGGTCTCTCAAGGGACGTACAAATCGCGGTCACATTATTATCTACATAATTTACATTTGTTGATAGCTCCTTATTGAAGGAAAAAATATTATCTAAAGATCATAATAGTGAGAGCATAAGGGCATGAACAGCCTGTCATAGTTAAGTCCAACTTAAAGTGGATCTTAGTGTTTGTGAAACACGCCCCTGGAAGAGTATCGCAGCTCCTGACGGGATGCGAATATCAGCATGTCAATAAACATGAAGAATTAATAATATACGACAGATCGGAAGTAGTAGATGAGAGTTTCGAGTTTTATCTTCTCCAAGCCGTGTCCTGACCTATTCCCCTTTTAAGAAAATAATATACAACATCGATATGAGCCCACGTGAGGTAGGGAGGTATAGACAGATGCCCTCTATACACAAACACGATTAGAACATTCTGATACATGCAATGGCATTATAGGCCTTAGAGTTATTCAAGAGTCTTTGGATTTAGTTCAACAATAAAAGTGAAATAAGCCAAATTTGTTGTCCTCTGCAGAAAGGCTGATATTTGATTGAATTGTAAAATGCATCATTGTTTCGTTAGAGCCATCTTTTTTTTTAATTGTTTTTTTTTTGTGTGGGGGGGGGGGGGGCTGGCTGAGGCAGTGGTTTTACACTTTTTAAGGTACAACAGAGCAAAAATGACAAAATCTGTTTTTTTTTTTTTTTAAAGGTATATTTATTTATTTGTCGCGTCATGAATAAGATCGACGCTTCACGAAACAGACCCTTATTGCGCTTGTTGAAGTTAAACGTTGTTCAAGGGTGATATGCTTAAACATACATTCCATGTCACACCACGCACTGCCTAAAAAGAAGAAAGAATTCGAAGGTGGAAATTAGAAGATGAATTGGTCACCGGTACGCAATACCTGAGCGTCAGCTAGCAGACGACAAGCTGGGAACCTTTGATTGTATTATGCATGGCGCCAAACTGAGTTCGTTTGTACAAGGTGTGTCAAAAATAAGTTTGATAATGCAACTTTTAAAATTCATTTCTTTCGATTCGGTGAACAGTATGTTGATATGCCCACATGGGTATAAAACGGTCCGTCCCATCGCTACACCCCTGCCCCACAGAAGTTATCATTGTGATGTATGTTGGATTGGAGATGACACTACTTCATTTTTCCCCCTTTTTTCTAGGGCCTATTCGGATACCAGAAAATACGAATTAAGCTGTTTGGAGAGTGTTGAATTCATTGTCGTCCAAACTAAATAATGTTCAGATTTCAGTTAGGAATGGTAGGCCTATTAAAGTTCATAACATGCTGTTACACAAGTGAATGAGGGTAGGATGCAACTCCTCATTTATGAAGAAATAGAGAACAAATCTGAATTAGTGTTTTCATTATTTGATTTATTTCATTCTAGTGTTAAAACAAAACATTCCCCCAAAAGGAACCATGAAAGGTGTTGGACATGTTTAATTTTTTGGACACGCTGTATCTCAAAGTCGACTCAGTTGGACGCGCGCGAAAATAGCTGCGGTCGAAATAAGACCAATTTATGAATGGGAGATGCCGCCGCGCGCGAATATTTTGTCAGAGATACCTGACGCAACAAACGAGGTCAACAGAATGCCCCCTCCATCGTTGGATTTCTTGAACTTAGAATGACTCATGGGGGAAAAATGTTCATAATTAGGATAAACGTGTCAAGTGTCGGGCCATACATGTATAAGTTGATGGCTTAACGATTATAATGAATAATTATGATAAACAATATCCATGTCATACTTCAGGCAAAAAGCCTTTAACTAGGCGTTGTGGCGTGCGCCTGTCAGGCGCGGACGCAGGATTTTTTCAAGGGGGGGGGGGGGGGGGGTTTAACATTTATAAATCGGGCCGAAAATTTCGCAACGACTCAGCCAGCCGCTGAATAAGCGGGGGGGGGGGGGGGGGGGGGGTAAGAGGACACTTTTCTTTTTTTTTTGGTCCCCAAAAAATCGCAACGACTCAGCCGACCGCTGAAGAGGACACCTTTTTTTTTTTGGTCTCGAAATTTGAAAATTTGACATTTTGCTCCGTTGGGGGGGGGGGGGGGAATAAGGTCAGCTTTTTTTAGGTCAGCCATGGGAATTTATTTTTTTTATAAATAAAATTAAAAAAAAAAAAAAAAAATCCAAAGGGGGGGGGGGGGGTTAACCCCCCCCCCCCCAAACCCCCCTCCCCCCTGTGTACGCGCCTGGCGCCTGTAATCCAGCTAAAAGTGGAAGTAACAAACTGATTCAGCCGAGGGCACAGGTTCGAAACTGAGTCACGTCTTTCGGATGGTGACGTTTAAAGGTCGGTCCCCAGACGTAAATAATCATATCTGATTGATACACGTCTGTAAAAACCCAATACACACACAAACACTTTATACATTAATTTACCATCTGAAATTGCAAACACCATACTTTCAAAGATGAGATAGACATGGCAGAGATTAGGTATCTGTTATTCCATACTTTACTTATACTTAGTAAGGTCCACGAAACACTAAGAAAGAAGAAAGCCCGAAATAAATAGAAACCCTACAAACAAACAATCAAACAAAAATTGTGTAGACAGAAGTCAGCTTAATATTAATGCAACATTTGCTCAGTTCTTTTGATAAACGATGCACTCATAGAGTCAATGAAAAATCAGGTATAACGAAAATGAAAGAAAGAAAAACAAAAAAAGGAAGATAAACTGTGCATATTCCCAACTACAGAGGGCGGCAGGGGGGGGGGGGGGGGTAGTGAGCACATTTTTTTTTTTTTTTGATCCTCAAAAAAATTTCAATTTGCACCCCCCCCCCCCCCTTGAGCGCCAGGGGGGGCCCAACCCCCCAAAAAGGTAAAAATCACGTGATTTTACATGATTTTTTTTTCTCAAGGGGGGCAAGGGGGGGGGGGGGGGGGCCGGGCCTCCGGCCCCCCCCCCTGGATCCGCCACTGAACATGCATGGGTCCAATCAGCTCAGGTTGAAAGGTCATTGTTTTTTAAGTGAATAGGGGAGGGGACACCGGACATTAAAGAAGATTAAAATACAAATTATGATTGATGCTGGGTTTGGAGGATCTTTCCGTTTCCATCTCGGCGATCCAATTCTTTCTCTCAATTTATCTACGTTTCTTATCCTCTGCCTTTTTTTTGACAATTGATGAGGAAGTACATGGATGGGGGGGGGGGGGGAGGGGACATGCCCCTTAATCCGAAATGCGACTGAAAAGTAACCATTGAGTGATTCAGAAAATATTTATTCATTGAGATTTAGTGTTCAATTTTGATTTTGATTTTTTTCTGATCCGGAAAAAATGTTGGTCTACGTTATATTCCTGTATCAGATATTTTCATCGACATTTTCATCATCAATTCTGTTACGGTTTATAATTCCCCTATGTCTCGGGGCGGAGAATAAAGGTCGGAGTTTTGGGAACATACAATACCCCCCCCCCCCCACTCAGTGTTATTTAGGGTACGCGTATGCAGGTTCCCTCCTTTTGAAAACCCCTAAGTCCGGTATGTAAAGTCTAAACTGGCCGGATTTTTGTGTACTACGAGCCGGACTTTGGTGCGTGAAAAGTACCCTTTTACCGGACATTTTGGGAACACGCATGCGGTCCCTCCGACCCGGAGTGGGGGGGGGGGGGGGAACTAGCAATAGGCTATCTATATATCCTATTTCCTCAGACATCCTCATCTTCCCTTTGATTATGTTCGTCGTCGTCCTCAATAACCTCATTTCCCTCATCGTCATTATTATTCTTATGAATCAGTTTTTCCAAATAATGATCCTGTATCTTCACCCGGTTTTTCTCTTCTCCAGTGTTTATATAGGCATTATAGTTTCATATCAATTATTAGCACTAATTGTTTACGCTTCTTCCTCGACTTAGTAATGTACATTAATTCTTTGTCTTTACTACGTTTTCTTTTTATTCCCTATATGGGGTAAGCGGCCAAGCCTACATAAGGGAAATACTTCACCTTTTCCCCGCCCCCTCCTATTCGATCCTCCCTTGTTTTTTATACATTTTCCCCACGACTTTTAAATTTTATCTCAATGAGAGGCAGTACATTATCGAAATCATTCAGTTTACATCTGAGTTACTGACTTGACTGAATTGAAAGAGTATCCCTTTCCATTGCAATTTTTTCCTCCCTCTTTTTTCCATTTCGAGAAATTTATCTTTTACTACATTTACATTTGGAGGCTTCCCCTTCTCTCTGCTATAAAAAATCATCAATTTAATCAAAATCAGAATGTGGTTAAGTAATTGCTCTGTTTCATATACTCCCATTTATTCCAATATGAATTTCTTTCCAAGAAGTTTCTTTAGAATTGGTAAATTGAGTTTATCAGCACATTTTCCCCAGAATCTTGTTATTATATTACATTAAAAAAATACATGTTGATAGGTTTCCTCCAAAATATTGCAATAGGAACACAAACCGTTTGTACAAAATTTAAATCTATGCAAAATGGTTTGTATTATTATAAACTATTCTATGCAAAAGTTTAAACTGAAACAACCTTGCAGCTAGGTAGTTTGAACACAAATCTTTTCCGCTTCTTTAGTTGTAGTATTATACAGTTCCATTAAGTTATGAAATGCTGAGCTGATTTCTGCATTATTCTTGATTTGACTTCTATACACCATCTTTGCAGTTATTTCTTCAAATTTAACCCCCCCCCCTTTTTTTTTTAGAGCTCTCTAGATCTAACCCTCGAGCGCGAGCTAGAGCGAGATATCGATATCGATTATTTGAGTACCGTACATTTCAAAATGGCGCTTGCCAGATGCGCCCGATGTCTTCGTTTCGACAGGTTTTCACCTGTAGTCAGGGTATCCTCGGCAAGATATGCATCTGGTAACAATTTTTGTATTCTGTAAATGTTCTGAAATTGATTGAGTTGCTGAAAAACTGTCTGGCATTGAGTTTGAGCTGTTAAAAGTACTTAAAGTTGAGGGTATGAGAGCGGGTGTAGGTAAACTGGCTGGGGAAGTGACCGTGCCTATGCATGATGTGGCCCGTGCCTCCTCCGGGCCGGTAGCGCGCGGACTGGGTGATGTTCATGTGTTGCAATGGGATTACGAACCGTGCCCATGTAAATGTGATTCGGCTTTGAATTTGTCTTTTGGCTTCTGCATGTTGAGTAGGAGCCCTAAGATGACATTTGTGTACATCTATTAGTATTTGTGTCACTAGACTCTCAGTTTAAACAGCTGTGTGGACTGTGCTGTGCACAGTCAAATTGTCGAATGAATAATGTCTGAAAAAACTCTGATGAATTGATTAGGGAAATCATTTAATGTTCAGTCTTCAGAATTTTTCTGGACCTCGTACTAGTTGCTAGTCCTCATACTCGTAAGCAGAGACCAGAGTGAAATGAAATTACAATACTTCTCAATCTCGATCCCCCTGACCTTCTCATCGTCCTTCTTTTCATCACCCCCTTTTCATCACCCCCTTTCCTTTTTTCCCTCCCTTTCCTTTTTTCCCTCCCTCTCCTCACTATTGAATGTTCTGGTTCATCATCTTCAAAGTTCTAACTGAGTAACTCTAAGTTCACCATCCTCTTCTTTTCTTCTTTGCCCTCTTTCTTCTTCCTTTTTCTTATTACTCTTTCTTCTTCCTCTTGCTTCTTCCTCTTGCTTCTTCTTCTTTTTGCTCAGTCGGTAAAGCATCTGCCTGTCGAACCAAATATCCCGAGTTCGACTCCCATCCAGGCGGATGACTAAAGCCTGCGTTGTGTGTTAATGTGCCCCTTCCCTCGTTCATAGACGCAGGTTATGTTCAGTGGAAAACACTCCGTCCCTCGGATAGGACGTTAAATGGAGGCCCCGTGTAGAGAAAAATCACTACCTTTGCACGTTAAGAACCCACTGCACTATTCGTATAAGAGTAGGGGAAACCCCGGTGTAGTGGTCCACCTGCACACACCCGCAGTATAGTACGATAATACTCTGTAAAAAAAAATAGGCTTTAAACTTGTAAAGACAAGGCTTTAGATACGCTTTCTTGAACAATTGCTTTGGAAAAAAAAGGTAGACATTTGTCAACTTGTCAAACTGTCACTTCACAATCCAGTTAATCTATTTGATGCTTACAACTTCATCAATGTCATTTTTTTCTTCTATAATTGTCAATCAAAGGTGATGTAAGCCTGCCGGGTCCTTACCCCGAGACGCCCGAGGAGAGGGCCGCGGCAGCCAAAAAGTATGGCATGAGAGTGGAGGACTACGAGCCCTACGCGGACGATGGATGGGGGTGGGGCGACTACCCCAAGCTCAAGAAACAGCATGCCGATGACAGGGACCCGCATGGAGATTGGGACTTCCCGGAGGACAGGAGAAACTGGGGCGAAGTGGTGAGAGTTCACAACATGTTTTAATGAACCCATTGCCTACAGCAAGAGAGTGGTTCCTGTATTATGAGAATCAAAGAATTCAGTACTGGTAGTACTCTGTTTTTATGCACATAGGCACATAGTTGTTAGTGCCGATTTGTACCGGTATTGCATTATAATTTTTAAAGGAAATGGATATTCTGCAAGGTGAATAACTGAATACAAAGCTCAAATATATACCTTGTACCTTGTAGAAATATTCCTGATAGCAGCTATTCATACAGCTAAACTGGGATCTATGTGCAACGTGCTGGCATAGTGTCGGTGCATGAAGTAATTCAAAACAGTGAATGATGTCTATTATTAACAATAAAATTGTGGACCTGCAAGTAAAAACTGAGATACATGTATATCATAATGATACTACAGTACATGTAATAACTACTCCTCAAACTGGCTGCATAGTGGTGTCATATTGGAGCTTATTCTGCACTGAATATAACTTGTCTTTCATGGCAATGGCGTAGGTAGAAAATACAGTACTGTACATTGTATGCATTACATGCATTTAATTGCACCATAGTCAAGGGTATCCTGAGGTAAAGGGCATGATGCTGGAAAAGCTCATTGCAAATCATCAATCATGATTTGTATATACGTTTTATTCTCATGAATTTACTAAAGAAAAGAAAAAGAAAAAAAAAAAAACATGAACGGAAACCTCCAAGAAAGATTTTTCAATAAGCTGTATTTGATTGCTTGTACTTATTGAAAGCAGTGCTTTCTGTGATTTACTCTAGACTAAATCTAGTTCATCATAATGATTTCTTCTCCTTGTTCTCTTACAGATGCACATAGAACAAGATCTCTTTGTCAGGCAACGTCCAAATGCATACAAACAAAACAGGAAGATCCCTCTGTAAGTATTACCGGTTTTACATTTTGTATTTTGTATTGCGCAAACATGATTAGAATAGGCTTCAATTTCAATGCCTTTTCTTTTTTTTTGGTAAGACATTTTGCTCTTCCTTTTTATGTGTATGAAGATTTTGCATTGATATATAGTATCCGTAAGACTGTGATTTCCTACAATTATTCTTTCATATGATAGTTATATTCTTTTGCTATTTCAATAAAGAACAAATTGAGAAATGATTATTTCATATTGGTAGTATTACACAGCAATCATAAAGGTCAGATAGTTGAAAAATACATGTGTGTGATAATGATAACAAGTAGCGTTCCGGTACTTAGACAGAGTATTTCTATCATTTTTTTCTCTGCATGTTTTCATCTGCATAAAGTGCTCCTTATACTTTTTGCTCTTGCCTTTGCCCCTTTGTCCATCCCTCCATTATTTTTTGGCCAATCTATTATGTCACTCTAATTATATTATGTTTATATCGTTGTATAGATGCAAACAATGTACTTGTATGTGTGGGTACAAATATCCATAAGGACTGCATGAAAATAAAAAGTAGCACTCCCTGCATGTTTTCATCTGTATAATATTCTCCTTATACCTTTATTGGTATGTTAGTCACTATGTTAAGTTAGTCATTTTAGTAGATATAAGATTCATGTATTTTTCTTCTTTGATTCCTTTTGTGTGATTATATTTCTCGTCATTCATGCTTGTACAGCACATAGAGAAACTTTGTTTATCATGCGCTTTATAAATATTGTATTATTTTTATTATTCTGCCCCTTTTGTCTATCATTCTTCTAGGTTTTTGCCAATCTATCATGTCGCTCTAATTATAATATGTTTGTATATCTTTCTATAGATGGAAACAATCTATGATTCTAGGCGGTATCCTCACAACGTTAGCAACCCTTGGTATTCTTGGAAATAAATACAAATATTTTGTACCAGTGGTGAGTCTATTAGCTATTACTGAATTGATTCTAGGGAGATGATAGTATCAGGGGAGTGTTTCACAAAGATTAAGATCGACTTTCAGTTGGAATTAAATATGGCAGGCCATTCATGCCACTGTTTGCTCTCACAATTATGAAATTTAGATAATTTTTTTTTTAAATTTAGAAATATAAATTCTGTAGACTTGTGACCATGATATGTACATCCCTTGAGAGACCAATGCCAGTAAATGGTGAGAGAAGATTGTGGCATGAATGGCCTGCCATAGTTAAGTCCAACTTAAAGTCGATCTTAGCCTTTGTAAAACACCCCTGGATGTACATAAAGTGTATTAAACTTGGATCTTTATAATGTGGAACCTCGTAATAAAAATCTCTGTTGGACTGAGGAAATTGCTTTGTCATATTGAAATCTTATTATATATCAGGGATTAGAAACAAACAAGAAAACAAACAAACAATAGGGAAAAAAAGAAAACAAGAACGGCACAATCACCGTGTTATCTTGAGAGTTCATTATTTCAGTGTTCTTTATAACAAGGTACAACTATACATTATGTGATTGAGTGATATACAGAATATTTTCTAGAAATCCGATTCATTCAGATAAACATATCATGGAATGTGGTGAATCACTCGTACAATCTACATGCACCAGTGAACACTGCCAGACGGAATTCAACGAAAGAGGGACATTAGTCAAAATATCATATTTGGTGGTTTATTTTGGTATTTATTAAGTTACAAAACATTGACTGACAAGAGGGTCAAATTTTCTTTCACACAGTAAAGTTGTGATCTTTAATTGATGTTTGAAACTGTAAATTTTTGTCTTTCTTTCGCCAGTACATCTATTTATGCCTGATTTCAGACAAATATGAAGATTTTTTCATTAGCTGTTAACAAGCAAAATGCAAACCACTAATCATACTATTTCCTGTATGTATTTTTTTCAGGGCCCTAAGCAATACCCATTCAACAACCTGTACGTCGAGAAGGGCGGAGATCCAGACGCCGTACCGGACACACCCAAAAACTACACCTTCCCTACTTCCAGTTATATATAAAAATAGATTGTGCCGTTTGTAAATTGTGGCCAGTACACGATATGCCCTTGTTTCTATGGTATCCCACAAATAGGGTTGTTCAAAGCTGGCATGAACCGTTTATAAATCCAGAATTACAGACTCAAAGATTTCATGGTCTGTGCTGTTCATGTAGAAAAGGTGGAAGTCAGGCAAAGGTAGCACTTACACAAACACTGTAAATAATATTTTAATGACCAGGTCAAATTGATTAACGCGAGTTCAGAGTGATGGTCATTACCACCAAAAGGAATGAGGATTTCTCGATCAAGTATGGACATAGAAATACCTCTAAACCTTCAATTTTTTAATTTTTGTACTGCCCTGATTGTGGGAAAGCAGTTAGAAAGGGGTTGAAATGTTCTCCAGGTATTAAACACAGCTGAAAGTGTTATATACCGGTACATTTTACTTGCTGGGTCATATTCTGTGAGCAGTTATCCCATCGGTGTAATTATGGGTTTCATTTCGAAAATATGAGACATCATTACCCTATTCTCTCCAGGAATGGTCCCAATACAACCAGGGTCAAAGTTCAGCTTGTGCTAGATATTATTGGGTATAAGTATTGGTATTTCCAAAACTCTATCAACGATGATTCAAATAGTGCTCAAACAGACTATAGATTTATATGACAAGTGACATTGAAAGGCATTTTGTTTTGGAATATATGTAGCCTGCATGTGATCAGAATGTCCGGTGACTCTGTTGCCTTTTGAAGTAATATGAAATTCCCTTGAGAATTTCCTTTTTTGATTCACAATATTGAATCGATTTTGATTGTAAATGAAGTAAAGTTATTTTGAGATGCTGATCTATTAAAAACTTTGATGAAAGTTTAGAAAGAGTCGTATTGTGTGATTGGTTTGTTTCAAGTCAAGTGTGTTGTATAAGAATGAAGAAAGATGTAGTGGTTAAGAGAGAGAGAGAGAGAGAGAGAATGAGTGACAGAGAGAGACAGAATACAGAGAGACAGAGTGAGAGAGTCAGAAAGACAGATGAAAGAGAGAGTGTGTGTGTGAGAAACAGAGAGAATGAGTGACGGAGAGAGAGAGAATACAGAGAGAGAGAGACGGACAGAGAGCGAGAGAGTCGGAAGACAGATGAGAGAGAGAGAGAGAGAGAGAGAAAATGAGTGACAGAGAGAGACAGAATACAGAGAGAGAGACGGACAGAGAGCGAGAGAGTCAGAAAGACAGATGATAGAGAGTGTGTGTGTGAGAAACAGAGAGAATGAGTGACGGAGAGAGAGAGAATACAGAGAGAGAGACGGACAGAGAGCGAGAGAGTCGGAAGACAGATGAGAGAGAGTGTGTGTGTGTGAGAAACAGAGAGAATGAGTGAAGGAGAGAGAGAGAGAATACAGAGAGAGACGGACAGAGAGCGAGAGAGTCGGAAGACAGATGAGAGAGAGAGTGTGTGTGTGAGAAACAGAGAGAATGAGTGAAGGAGAGAGAGAGAGAATACAGAGAGAGAGACGGACAGAGAGCGAGAGAGTCAGAAGACAGATGAGAGAGAGAGAGAGAGAGAGAGAGAAAATGAGTGACAGAGAGAGACAGAATACAGAGAGAGAGACGGACAGAGAGCGAGAGAGTCAGAAAGACAGATGAGAGAGAGTGTGTGTGTGAGAAACAGAGAGAATGAGTGAAGGAGAGAGAGAGAGAATACAGAGAGAGACGGACAGAGAGCGAGAGAGTCGGAAGACAGATGAGAGAGAGAGAGACAAAGACACGGACAGAGAAGGATTATTATGCTTTTATGAGGGAAGAGATGAATGAAACTAAGAAATGGTAAAGAGAAATGACAGCAAGACACCATGATTCAAAGAGAGAGTCGGAGAAATAATAATAATAATAGCCACATTTATCATCATCACTTTTTTCTTCCTGTGGCCTGTCATATTGTACTCTGTCTCATTCACGCTCCATACTTGTTTTAGCAAGATCAATAAATGATGAAATGAAACGATGTATCATTAATTTCATCAAATTTATTTCATGATTTATGGTATAAAGAAAACAAAAATAAAGCTTGTAATAACACTCAAAACAAGCGATCAATCTTGATCGAAACCTCCAAATTACAAATAGATATACAAATGTACACAGAAGTCCAACTGGCTTCATTGATCACCTGTCTTTATAGACCACCTTTAGAGGACCACATGCCTATAAAGACTACCTTTAGAGGGGCACATGTCTAAAAAGACTACCTTTAGAAGACCACATGTCTATAAAGACCACCTTTAGAGGACCACATTTAGAGGACCACCTGTCTACAAAGACCACCTTTAGAGGACCACATGTCTATAAAGACCACCTTTAGAGGACCACATGCCTATAAAGACCACCTTTAGAGGATCACATGTCTATAAAGACAACCTTTAGAGGACCACCTGTCTACAAAGACCACCTTTAGAGGATCCCATGTCTTTAAAGACCATTTTTAGAGGACCACGTGTCTATAACGACCACCTTTAGAGGACCACATGTCTTTAAAGACCACTTTAAGAGAACCACATATCTTTAAAGACCACCTTCAGAGGACCACATGTCTATAAAGACCACCTTTACAGGATCATAATAGACGAATTTGACTCTCCATGGTTTGGAATACAGAATTTCCCTGATTGGGGATAAATACCTATAATTTCTAAAATTGCCAGGAAAAATACAGTGAAACATCATCATAAAGAGATCTGATATTTATAACGAGGTATCTGTTATAACAAGGTGATTTTTCTGGTCCCAGCTCTTATATTCTTCTGATTTTATATCCAGATATAACAAGATTCCTAATACAGTTTAAAATATCCATGGTCCAGAGGACGTTGTTATAACAAGTTTTCACTGTACTATGATTTCTGCTCTTGAGAGAGAGTCTAACAAATTTAATAGTGGGAGACTGGACTAGAAACTCTTAAAGCTAATCTAGAATTCTAAAAATTGAAACTGGCTGTGTCAGTGGCATGATGAATACCCTGCAGACCACTATACCAATCGATTCAAGGCCTAAACAAACAAGTCCAGTGCTAAGAACAACTCTCAAAATATCTACATGTTTTGCTGCTAAGGTGTAAACAAAAAACCCATTATAAAAAGGAGTTTCAGAAGTAGCACTACACTAAGCACTTGGAGGGCATTCATTTTAATTGCTGGCTAACATTATCATACAGCCCTTTCCAAACACATGTAACTTGTAATTGAGCAAGCAAATGTCTTTAAATTAAAACAGGTGGGAAAGACTTATAACCTGAAATTAGTGTGCGCTTTAAAAAAAAAAAATTCTCCCTGAAAAATCATGAAACTACTTTGCTGTACACCTGGACGTATTAAAATACATTCATTTTTACTAAACATAACTTGGAAGACCACTTTCAAAATAATTGTACATTCTATACAAACACACATCTGCAATAAAATAAAAAAAGTGTCACTTGCTAATACATTTAGCAAATACAAAGTACAAATGAAATATACTAAATTAAATGACCAAATCTGTACCTAATGCAGGGCTATGACTAACAGAGAGTTGCGATTGATTAACATCGATCAAGTCCTCTTAGCAATCACAAATTCATAATCGCCTTCATCTTATGTACAGTATTGTAATTGATAACAAACTCATGATTGCTGTGGTCTACATGTGTATATGGATCAATCACAACTCTCAATACACTATGAATGTGACGGACAAAGAAAGAGGACAAAATAAACAGTTCCTCGTTCTACCCTCAACAATTGCTGTGGTAGACAAAGGAACATCCGTTCACTGCTATTATGTAAAAATGTGTAGAACAGGTGTCACATGCATATCGTCACCTGTTCTACACATCTTTACATAATAGCAGTGAAGGGAGGGTAGAATGAGGAACAGTATATTTTGTCCTCTTTCTTTGTCCGTCATGTTCATAGTGATAAAGGCTCGTTCAGATACCGGTATGAAGCAGCAAAACTTCTGCATTTTTTCTTTCATGATGACTTATAAAGTGTAACACCCTTCACATTTCTCTATGATATAACACAGAGCTCAGTGAATAAGCGTGAGTCCTTCAATGTTCACAGTTGTTGTTCACTTGACACTTTAAAACAAGTGGTGATTAAAAAAAAAAAAATGCCACGGTTTCCCGCACCATATCTGCAAAAGCCTTAAGGCAACACATATTTGTCAGAACACATATCTAATAGTAGTGAAATGAAAATGGATAAAAAACGGTAATAAAAGTACTGAATTAAAAATTTAGGTCTGGCCACATATCTTCGCAATATTTGAAGTTAAATTACCCTTTTTTAAATTTTTTTGTCTTACTAAAGAGCACACAAGGGGCCTATAACATGTTCGAACAACAAATCAAGCTCTCTAAATATTTAGCATCTTTCTTTTGTAATACTGTTACAGAACAAATGCTATATGAAAAAACATGAATCTATATGAAAGTACATGGATGTCAGTAAGAGTAAATATCGAATCTTATACTTGTATTATAAGAAAGAAAATATTCTCATATTGATCATAAGCTAGTCTGTATCTCCTAATTTGTTGGATAAAAAGCACAAGAGAGAGAGAGAGAGAGAGAGAGAGAGAGAGAGAGAGAGAAAATGTGACTCTTCATGTACAAATTCTAAGCAAAAAATTGATATGAAGAAAGTCTTTGCTGATTTCTTTCAAGAGGAATACTGAATGCTGAGCAAAATCCATTCCACTTCTTCTCTTTTAAGTACATAATATTTCTTATGTAAGAGGTAGGTCCTTTTAAAGCAAAGCATAATTTTCAACTTTTAGAGAAAACATATGTACATTGGACAAGCTCACAAATACACTGTATTTAACAGCCTCGTTAATAAAATATGGAACATGTTCTTGAATACGGTATGTCTTCTTGTTTTTAAAGCAAAAACACTTTCCTAGTCTGCCCATGCAAGAAACTAGATGATTTTGCACAGAATATATGTTGAGAATAATTGGGTAAAATATGAAGACTGACAGGATGGGTGTAAAGAAGAAAAAAGACAAAGAAAGGGAAAGAAAAAAGAATGGAAGAAAGGAAAGGAGCAAGGAAAGAAGCAAGAAAAGAGGAAAGGAAGAAAGGAATAAAGGAAGAAAGAAAAGATGCAGTTGAAGAAAAAAGGAATAGAGGGAGAGATATGAAAGTGGAAGTAACAAAATGGAAGATTCAAGAGAACAGACAAAGAATGGACAGAAGCGAGAAAAGAAGAAAGGAAGAAAGAATGAAAGAAAGAAAGGATGCAGTTGAAGAAAAATGGAATAGAGCGAGAGATACGAAAGAGGAAGTAGCAAAATAGAAGATAGAAGAGAACAGGGAAGAAACCTAAGCCATCTAATTTGCGTAGATGTCTCCCATAGGTATCCAGATGTTCTTGACCTCCACAGAGTGGTAGAGGAACTCCTCCCCTTGACCCTGGGCTCTGTCCGACCATTCCCTGCTCGCCCCATAGTTGACCCACGTCCTCTTGAGGTTCTCTGCTGACGTGTGCTCCACGAACTTTGACCCCTCGGGCGACCCGAAGTACCACATGGCCTGGACGTCCTGGTGCTCGGAGAGGTACTTGGTCAGGTGACTGCTGTCTCCCGTTAGGATGTTGACCACGCCTCCCGGTAGGTCTGATGTTTCAAAGACCTGGAGAGATAAGAAATTCAATTTCAATTAAATTTCATTTATTTCCACAGATTCATAAAAGACAATATAAATTACAATCAAATATACAAGCATTAAAACAAAAGATGAACCTGCAGAGGGGGTGATAAAAAACACAGAGGTTTATCGGGGATCATCCCCAGCTTAAAATTATAATATAAAAATACAATTTAAAAAAAAAAAAGTAAACAATAAACACATACAAAATCATAAATAAATATTACAAGCAAATATATGTGTGGGGTGAGTAGTAGTGGGGTGGTGGTACCAATAAGGATTGCTTCTGCTGACGAAATGTTCACAATTTTAGTTTTTTAGACTGCTAAAAATACTTAAGGGCATAAAACAGATACATTGTACATGTTTATGCCAGGATTAGTGATGTAAGAAATAGAAAATTTAATCAGCATTCTACGTAAATTTCAACAATAATTTCATAATAACAACAGCAAATGATTGCCTGACATAACTTGCATACAAAATGTACTTCATTCACATAGCGGTATTATATTCACAAAGGGTGACTTGAATGAATTGTTGCTAGTGTTCTAAATTCAATTCAATTCAATTCGTTTTATTAAACCATTTAAAATCAAAATCAGTATACAAATCATGAATGTATGAAAATTATTGATACAGTGTAAATAGTCAGGGTGCTTCTAAAAGCCAAGCCTTGATTAATGGGGCCCCCAATACATAAAGGATTATACATAGAATAAACATGAGATACAAAAGTATGAGAAATGATGTATCCATTATTTTAATTACAGAACTTACAATGTAGTCTACTGAACAAAACAAAGGTGGAAAAAAAGAAAAAAAAAACCCTTTTTTTTTCTAACCTGGTAGAAGCCGAGAGCTGGAAGTGGATACTTCTCACTAGGCACGGCTATCACCACGTTGCCCCTGACCACAGCCGGGGCAAAGAGGGAGACAAAGCCCAATAGAGGGCTCTCCTCGGGGCAGATGATTCCGACGACACCGACGGGTTCGTGGATCTTCACCGTTGCTCCGTAGAGTGTGGTTTCCTGTTGTTGGTGAGAGCATAGAGAAACATTCAAGATAATTTATTGTCTGATTAAAAAAAAAACAGAAATTCGTCCTCCACTGGCGAGTGACATACATATACAAGCAACATAAACAATATATACACAATAATAGCAATAACAAAACTTACATATAAGTTTAGAAACTGGCATTAAAAATTGAATCTCGACAAAGCACAGAATGCATAAAATAAATGTGCTCTGAACATTCACCTCTTCTCTCCCAGAAATGGAGTATGAGAAAAAAAACAGAGACAAGAACAAATGAGAGAAAGAGAGAGGGAGGGAGAGAGAGAGAGGGAGGGAGAGAGAGAGAGAGAGAGAGAGAGAGAGAGAGAGAGAGAAGAGAGGAGTCGCATGGAGTAGAAAAGAAAGGAAATGTGAGGGAGAGGGAGAAGGTGACAGAAAATGAAGAGCTCTGGGAGGGAAGGGATGAGGTAGAGTACAGGCTATCAATTATCATTGTGATTTATAATGCAAAAGATCATTCTTTATACTGGCAAGTTGATGTTCATCAAATGATTGGCTTCTAAGCAACAGGCAGCATTATACAATACACAAACAATACACAGCAGTGAGGGCATTAGCAAGAATTACCCGCACAAGGTACCTTTGAAACAGTCTAACACGTCCGAGGCGATAGACGAGGGTGTTTGGACTGTTTTGTAGGCACCGAGTGTGGCTAATTTTACTTCTGCCTGAACAAAATGATGTCTATTATTTGTTTTATAAGATTATGTTTTATTTGTTTAATAAAATTATGTTTTATTACATGATTTTACTAATGACCGGTCATTAGCATTTGATAATGACCAGTTGTTATCAAAATTATGTGTTAGGCAAAAATAAATGCCTAGTCATGTGTACGCTCTCAACTGATCATTTGATTAGGATCCATGTCATTATCTTATAAATAGGATTAATAGGACCTTTCCTTTGCAGTTCCTTATACAAACAATTATTAGAAACCAACTTATACACTTGATGCACCACGCGTTACCCCGGGGTACCGCGTTGTGTAGCGCCATCTCGCGTCCACTCGAGTACAATGTATGGAGTGCGTGTACATAGTTCCGTGGTATCTCTATGGTGTATACTATGCATGGTGTGCATGCATGCACTGCTCGCGCTATAGCGCTCGCTCACGATCACAAGCGCACTACGGTGGCTATCGCACACTATAGTGCTAGCTAGCTCCGGCGTCCGGTCCCGACCCGCGGCTATTTTAGAACTTGATGTTATTGCACGTACGTACCGTACCTGTATACTCTTTCGAAAAAACAAAAAACAAACAAACATCGCATCATCGACATAGTTAACGCGCGCGTTACTGTCAAACTTTCAAACTTTGAAAATGCCATGGGTGGAAGGTGATGGTGGATACGGGGATTTACTGAAAGGGAAAGGACGTAAAAGACGGAAGATTACAAGGGCCGAGAAAGTTGAAAGAGCTCGATCTCGTGCTGTAGAGAAGTTGGGGGAGGAGAAGGCCGCTGATGTGGTAGCGGTGTTTAGGAGGGCGAGTGACGGGGGAGACAAGGAGCAGGCTGATGGTGTTATTTTGACCCAGCTGGCCCAAGCCCTCTCGCAAATCGAAGTCGTAGCCCTACTTCATGTTGGGGGCTATAGAGTTGCTAGACTTGCAAGGTATGACCCTGAGGAGGAGGAGCTACGAAAACAACGAAGAGTAGCCTGGCATGCTGCCACCGAGGAGGATAAGCAGGCTATTAAAGATCAGATTGATAGGTGGGATATTGAACCAGGTTACCCTTGCCAACATCGCAGGCCTTAAAGGATTTTTTACAAGAACATTGGACACAATTGAAGGTTGAAAAAATCACACAAAAATAATTTCCCACTTTTTGGTAACCCAGGGTACAACCTTAAAAAAAAAAAAAAAAATTCAACAAAATGGCCGAATTTTTTTTGGTACCCCAGGGTACCATTTTAATATGTCATCACTTGTCAATGTAATTATAAATGCTTCATACCCACATACAGTGGTGTGGTGTTTCCTGTAAAGCAAAATGTTTGAAGTTAGATGAACTTTATGATGTACGTTGGAAAAGAAGTGTCATTAATTGAAATTTCATTCATTGAAAATTAAACTTGCTTTGTATGTGTTTGTAAACCACTGACTGGTGAGGGGAACATCTATAACAGGATCTAGTTTCTTTCTGGCTCTTCTCATGCATAAGCATCATACATGGGGAATTCCCAATTCGATTCTTTTAAAACATTGTGTTTTAAAATCTAATTTTAATTGGCCATTTCTTCCAGTAAATGTACATTGCTTTGCTAAAATATCATTTCATGTACTGGTGTCAATTTTTTTTTTTTTTTTTTTACTTCATTCTTTTCCTGAAATTTTGCCTGGAAATTGAAATAAATAAAATAACAAGGGAAACGCTCTCGGCGGTCTCGCCTGCATAACGCAATTCAATATGATAAACCAGAACGTCAATGACGTAGCGCTCATCCGCATCTCGCAACAACAAATATCGTAAATTTTATGTGGTACACTTTTGAACTGGTCAAAAAATAAAAATTTGATGCCCTGGAAGGGACATAATTTCATTTCATTTGCATAAAGTACCATAAATAATCAATGGAGCAAAATCTCACAATTCTGTGTACTAGTTTAGTGTTCCAAATTTAGCTCTATCAGATAAGGCAAACCAAATCAAAATCAGTCAAGAAATGAGGGAAAAGAAGCAATTTTTGTTATTTTTGGAATAAATTTGCATAAATTACCATAATTAATTAATGTGTAGAAGATTAGTGTACCAAAGTTAGCTCTAAGATATAAAGCAAACCAAATCAAAATCGGTCGAGAAATGAAGGAGAAGAAGCTTTTTTTGTGATTTCGAATAAATTTGCATAAATTAGCATTGATAATGAATTTCACGATTTTGTGTAGAAATTCCCCCCTCCTAGCCCTATCATATGAAACAATCAGAATCAAAATCGGTTGAAAAATAACGAAGAAGAAGCATTTTGAAAATCTTGATGTTGATGCCACAACAAAGTCTAAGTTTGTTGACCTTAAATGACCTTTGACCTTAACTTAGTGACCTGAAATACTGCTCACATGATTGGGGAGACTTGATAACCCTATAGTCCAAGTTTCATTGACTAAGAACTTATACTTTCAAAATTATATCAAAAATTAAAAAACTTAACCTTAGGTTAAGTTTTTGATGATGATGCTACAACATAGTCCAAGTCTGTTGACCTGAAATGACCTTTGACCTTGACTTTGTGATCTGAAATTCTACTCACATGACTGGGGATACTTGATTACCCTATAGTCCAAGTTTCATTGACTAAAGAACTTATACTTTAAAAATTATATCAAAAACTCAAAAACTTAACCTTAGGTTAAGTTTTTGATGTTGACGCCGTCGTTGCCGCCGCCGCCGCCGTCACCCTCGCCGTCACCGGAAAAGCGGCGCCTATGTCTCGCTTTTTGCTACGCAGGCAAGACAAAAATTAAATGAAATAAATGCCTGCTGGTAGAGGCGTGCGCCTGTAATTCAGCTAACAATGAAAGTTACAAACTGATTCAGCCAAAGACGCAGGTTCGAAGCTGAGTCACGTCTTTCGGATGGTGACGTTAATGGTCGCTCCCCAGACGTAAATAATAATATCTGATTGATACACATCTGTAAAAACCCGACTACACACACAATTTTTTTTTACACCTTCCCCTTACCTGAACAGTTCCACCATACTTGTCTGCATACGCGCCCCAATAGAAGAGCCTCTGAATGGACAGATCGACCTCGTTCAGGGCACTCTTCATGTCTCGGCCTGTCAGCTTGGCGATGCCCTGTGCTACCTCGTCTCTCCTCTGCTCTAGATTCTCCGCCATGTAGTAGACAATCTGGGCTCGGTTGTGGGCTGCTCGCTTGCCCCATCTATAAAATATATATATACATGTTTTACTTAGATGATTGCAATCACTTAAGTCGATTTGTCAACTAATGTCATTATTTTCTCACTAAAAGCCATTTTTAAGCCCTTTCATTTTTGAGGGAAGTTCCTAATTAGTATTATCTTTCAAATGCTGTTGGAATTTAAAGATAGACCTAAGCTTGAGTTCAGGTAAAAAATGAAAAAGAATTCTCACAGAATCTAACAAGACTTACGCTGAATGTTCAAGATTACAAATAAATGATATGTGCCAAACAATTTTGGTAGAAAATGTATAGTGGCTGAGTAATGAGCACAGAAAGATTAGGAAATGAAGGTTAGTAGACAATCTGGGCTCTGTTGTGGGCTGCTCACTTGCCCCACCTACATGTAAAATGAAACATATATTTTTCAAAGATAAACTTGAGTTCTGGTAAATTAAAGCCAAAGACCAGTTATGGTCATGCGATTGCATTGTGAAAGAAACGTTGTGGAATCAATCAAAAAAGGTTGATCATCTAGCATATAAATATTGGTATGTACTGCAAGGTTCTGGAATCATCAAAATTATAAGAAATTGACCCAGTCTTGGTAAAAATTACAAGCACTGTACACATAAAGATGTATATGGGACTACACAAATATGTGGCATAAAAATCTGTCCCGATTTTTATGATTTTTAAGATGTTGCATGCCATATTTAGAATATTAAGGCATTTGAAGAGCCATGCTTTTCAAGGAACATGTTTTTTCTGATGTTCTTCCAAACTTGCATAATAACAATGAGTTCCCAGAACTCAACCTTCTCTTTGAAGGAATTTCTCACTCACCCTGGTGCAGCTTTGTGTGCTGCTTCCACAGCGTTCCTCACGTCCTTCCTGTTGCCGTCGGCAACCAGCGCCACTACCTGTTTCTCCGCATCCATGACGGGCCTGGAGTACATGCCGTCGGGCCTCTTCTGAGCTCCACCGTAGTAGAGCTTGTAGGTGCGGTCGATGCTCGGCATGGAGAAGCCGTCGACTTGAACTGTAGATGGCGCTGGCGGGTTGTTGGTGGGAATGTTGGGTACGTGGCTGCCGAACAGTTTGAGTTCCATGTCGACATTACCAGGCTTCTTCTTTTCCATCCATGAAGGGACTACGTATTCATACAGACCCTAAATGATAGAAAAGAGAAACAGTAATAAAGCTCTTTTCAGATATCTGGGGATGTTTCACAAAGATCCTAAGTTAAACTTAACTCTAAATTAGACTAAAATAGTCTGGTGAGGCATGCTTTAATATCTTATCTCATCTTATTTTGAATTTGAATTTTGAAATTTGATCAATACCATGGCACTTAAGTCCTTTAGCAAGATATTTATCTACATTTGCCACTCTCCACCCAGGTGTTAAATGGGTACTGGTAGGAAGGAAATTCCTTGAATGCTATGAGCGCCGAAATCAGCTGCCTAGCAGAGCTGGGGCAATAGTTGGAACGCCTTGAGCACCATGCATGGATGATATGTGCGCTACATAAATATCCAATATTATTATTATTATTATTATTATTATTTCAGAACAATATACTAATGCCTACCTCTTTTCCTCCGTCTCTCCCATAACCGCTGTGCCTGTAGCCTCCGAATCCAGCCGCTGCGTCAAACATATTATGAGCATTGATCCAGATGGCCCCAGCCTTGATGCTCAGAGCCACCTCTAGACCAAGACTAACGTTCTCGGTCCAGACGCTGCCGGCTAGACCATAGTTGGAGTTGTTGGCAAGGGCAACAGCCTCCTTGGCAGTGCGGAAGGGCAGGACGACAAGGACAGGTCCAAAGATCTGAGGTAGGTAGCAGGAATAACATTGAAAAAGCAAGAATTCAGGGGGGCGTTTCACAAAACTTTTCATCAGTGACAAATGACAGTTTTTGTTATAAGCTACTGAAATCCTTGCTTCTGATTGGTTATCAGGAGATTTGTCACTAATTTTTGTCATTAGTCATTGAAAAAAGGCTTTGTGAAACTGGCCCAGGAAATGTAAAGATAGATCTATATACTAGACCTAACCAAAGCATCTTGGGATATGTGTAAATCCTGTGTCCAATAATGCATATTTATTTCCTGGACCATCACAAATATGCCTACATATAACTCCCTTAAAAAGAAGGAACATTTAGAGCAGTATAATAAAAAGTACAAGGGTCCTTCGAGCGAAAAATTGGTATGACCGGATATGGGTGTGGAGGGGGGGGGGGGGGGGGGGGGTTGTATCACCAATATAAATAATGCCTCCGGCTACTTTGTAGCGGAGGCATAAAAAAGGCCCCTAGATTTGTTGTCTTGTCTATGATACTCTATGGAAAATTTTAACCAAACTTGTCAAGAAATGGGGCATATAGAGCAGAGAATTATTGAAATACAGTGATTTATCAACAGGCATACAGTGTGATTTTCTAATGGGAAGGACCTTGAATTAACATCCTATCTGAGGGACAATCTCTTGTACTTACTTCCTCCATGACCACTCTGGACGATGTCTGGACGTTGGTGATGAGCGTCGGTGGGTAGAAACAACCTTTCTTAGGTACACAGTCAGGGTTTTGAATGATCTGTGGTCAAATCAAGATGAGATACATTGCTGATTAACTGAATGACTAACTTATCTTTTTTTAGCAGATGTTTCTGCATTTATTGATAAATTAAATATAAAACATTCAAATAACAATAATGGTATATAATATAATTGATTTACATAAAGAGTGACAACTTAATACACACAAATAAAAAATGCAGAATTGAAAGCTTGAAAGTATGGGGGTAAGTAAAAATAATCAAGATAAATGCAGAGGCCAACTATCATAAGCAAAGATGCTTGAATCGATAGCAGCCGGGAAGGGGGGGGGGGGGGGGGGGGGTACATGGCGCTGTTATAGGAGTATGTAGGTGAATAGAGAGTCACGTATAAAGATTTTGTTCAGAAAGTATCTGAATAAAAAGTGGAAAGAAATTAAAGAAAGAAAAAAAAACTAGATGGAATTCGACTGCGCGCAGTCGAAAATGATGCCTCCGTTAAAGAGCAATTTTACAAACCAAAACAGAAAAAAAAAATTGAATTCACGTTCAATGGTAATCCATTGACAGGTTCTCAGAATATTGTGATTACAAGCAATTTCTCGTATACATATATGACCCTTTGATCTTTGACCTCATGACCATAAAATCTACTCAGTTCATTGGCTCTGCAAGATGTTCTGAGTTAAATAGTAATCCATCTGTCAGTTCTAATGAGAATGCGTTCACAAGCTATTTTTGCATACATAATGGGCCCATGACCTTTGACCTTTGACCTTATGAACCAAGAATCTACTCAGTTCATTGGCTCTGCAAGTAACAAACATGACCTAATTTTGGCATGAATCCATCAATCGGTTCTTGAGATAACGCGATCACAAGCTGTTTTTGCATTCATAATGTGCGCTGTGGCCTTTGACCTTTGACCTACGTGCTCCAAAATCTAATCAGATCGTCTTCCTATGGTGATACACACTATCACTAAGTTTGAAGTTTAAATCTCCAGTGGTTCTTGAGATATCATGATAACAATCTCAATGTATGGAATTTCATAAGTTGACCTCTGTGACCCTTGACCTTTGACATACGTGCTCCAAAATCTAATCAGATTGTTTTCCTATAGTGATACACACTATCACTAAGTTTGAAGTTTAAATCTCCAGTGGTTCTTGAGATATCATGATAACAATCTCAATGTATGGAATTTCATAAGTTGACCTCTGTGACCCTTGACCTTTGACATACATGCTCCAAAATCTAATCAGATCGTCTTCCTATGGTGATACATACTATCCTTAAGTTTGAAGTTTAAATCTCAAATGGTTCTTGAGATATCGCGCTAACAAACTCAATACAAGGAATTTCATAAGTTGACCTCTGTGACCTGTGACCTTTGACCTACGTACTCCAAAATCTAATCAGATCGTCTTCCTATGGTGATAAATACTATTCCCGAGTCTTAAGTTTAAATCTTAAATGGTTCTTGAGATATTGTGATAACGGTCAAACGGGACGGACGGACGGACGTACGGACGGACGTACGGACGGACGTACGGACGGACGTACGGACGGACAACCCGAAAACATGATGCCTCCGGCACCACCTTCGGTGGCGGAGGCATAAAAATATGCAAGTGTGTGCAAGTGGGTGTGTGCAGGTGAAGTAAGTGTTTGATTTTGATTTGATTTGATATGGTTTCTTGATTAAAAAACATTCAAATAGCAGCCAGAGGCTGAAACAAATTGAATTTACAAAAGATACATACAAAAACATAACATATACATATAAATGGCAATTCACAATAAATAATCAAGGGTATGATCAAAGAAAAGAAGAGAAACAAGAGAAGAGATTGAAACGGATGACTAAAGGATAATTGAAGGAGAACGAGCGCGTAACAGAAGGCAATAAGACAAATGTAACAGAAGGTTAGAAGGACTGGTAAGACAATAACAGAGAGGGGAGAGAGAGAGAGAGAGAGAGAGGGCGTAGAGAAATGAGAAAGAGAAGCTGGCAAGGAGACTACACAATAAAAGGGACAGATAAAGAGTAGGACAGATAAATAGGCTGAAATGGAGAACTAGAGAAATAATCGGATAAAGTGTTAATAAACTATAATACAAATATAATACCGTACAATGTAAATGCAGCATAATTTTGAGACCAACTTAAACCGACTACAAAATGAAACAGTGAATCATAGAGCACAAACCGCAATGTCATTGATATATTCATTATAGATATTTAAATATAAAAAGCTTTACAGAATTAGGCAAAACATGGTTAATACACATGTATTTGCTTCAAGATCCATATCTGACTCACTTATCTGAATAGTATGCATTTTAATCCAGATTATCATCATATTATTATCTCTAAACTGAACCTAGCTGGCAATTTTATGTTGCGCTATATAAATCCAGATTACTAATATATTATTATTATCTCTAAACTGAACCTAGCTGGCTTATTTTAGTTTGTGCTATATAAATCCAGATTAATATTATAAATCTCTAAACTGAATCTAGCTGGCTTATTTTTTACCTCTGCTCCTTCTCTCCTCGCATCCTCCACATACTCCGTCACCGTCTTCAGATGGGAGGGGTCCACCATCGCACCCATGTCTACCGATTTATCCAGGGAGTCCCCCACTCGGAGGTGCATGAGACGCTCCCGCAGTTTGGCCACCATCTTGGACATGACCGTCTCCTGGACGATGAGCCTCGAACCTGCACTGCATACCTACATCAATATTAAGTGAATCAGTAACATTGCCTCTGATTCTGAAACAAAATCCTGGATTTAGCTCATGCTGCAATCATAATTATAAACCTTTAGGTCATTCAGGAACCCCATGACTTTTACAAGCCGATCGCCTGTCTGATTATCAAGATATTTATGATTTTCCTAACGGTTTTCATAACACTACATTCTATTGGGGAAGATGAGTATGGTAAAACCGGTCACTCAAGGATTTTTAATGTTTTGAGGCACTTCATGATCATTTTGAAGTGCGATTTTTTTTTTAGGGCTTCAATATTACACCATATCACAGACACTGATAACATGTAGGGCCATGCATTTCAGATTTAACATTCTTAATCAGAAGCAAGGATTTCTGTAGCTTATAACATAAACTGTCATTTGTCACTGATGACAAGTTTTGTGAAACGCCCCCAGGTTTCACTGTACATACCTGGCCTTGGTTGAACCAGATAGCATCGACGATGCCCTCTACAGCCGAGTCAAGGTCAGCTGACTCAAAGACGACAAAGGGGGATTTCCCTCCGAGCTCCAAGGACAGCTTCTTGCCTGTTCCAGCAGTAGCCCTTCTCAAGATCTGACCGACCTAGCAATCAAATTAAATCAAATCAATGTTATTGATATAAAATCTACAATATAATTTAACTTGATGACTGGCTGCCTGCTGTAAGCAGAATTGACAACTCTGCTTCATTGACAATCAACCATGCATGAAGTCTGTTGTCTATGTCTGATCGTCAACGAAACAGAGTTAAGTCTTTTGTCAATTCCGTTTGTTGCTACGGCAGGCAGCCAGTGAAAATGAACTTTTAAAATCAAATTATGGAAACGCAAGCATCACTTTAAACAAACTATCTGAAACAGTCAACTGACCTCTGTGGATCCGGTGAAGGCCACTTTATCGACCCGTGGGTGCAGGGCCAGCTTGCTCCCGAAGGCTCCGTTGCCCGTCACGATGTTGAGAACACCGGGGGGTAGACCAGCCTCGGCGCAGATCTGGGCGAAGAGGAGGGCGCTGAGACGGGTGTAGGTAGCCGGCTTGAGGACCACCGTGTTACCCATGGCAAGGGCGGGGCACACCTTCCAGATGAGGAGCATGAGGGGGAAGTTCCAGGGGACAATGGCACCAACCACACCTAGTGAAAAAACAATAACAATGCATGGCATTCAGAGAGAA